CATCACGACATACATACGCATATGTTTCTTCAAAATCTAGTGCTGGATCCTTTCTGAGAATCTCTTCTCTGAGTTGTTCAAATTCTGCATCGAGTCCATTAAGAAAGATGTGCACTCTCAAGCATTCAACTGATTTTTTATATGCAATAATATCATCTGGATCTTTCATTACAACCTTATCACGATAATCTAGCTCTTGAAAAATTTCTACAAGATCACCATAATAAGTTGATAGAGGATGACGAACCTGTTTAGTGGAGAAAGCTCGTTGGTTTAATGCAAAGATTTGTGCTTCGTCTGACCTATCATAGAAAGCCTTGGCCAGGGCGTTCCAGATTTCTCGTGCGGTGCGTATCCTGAGATACCGCTTCATAATTTCAGGTGACATGGATGTCAATAACCAGCCCTTAACCTTCTGATTTTCTGCATTCCACTTTGCATAGGAAGCATCAGTCTTCGTTGGTTGAGGTGTTTTTCCCATAATATACTCAAGCTTTTCACGCCCTGCAATATGCATCTCCGTGATTTGGGACCATACATCATAGTTCATCTCATTAAGAATGATACCAGACTCGAAGCTAGCATTTTCGGATTGCACATGTATGACTGTTGTAGGTGACATGGGTGTAGGTGACATGGATGTAGGTGATTCAGGTTTGTTGTCAATCATGGTACAAGGAATAGATGAAGATTCAAGTTGTAATGATACGTATGGATGGTACGAACCTCGCTCTAATACCAAGTAAAGAATACTGGTGCAGCAGAGAGCAAGAGTTGAATAAAAGGGAATTAAAACTTATATATTATTCTCTTTCAACAATGGGATTAAATAGTTACAAGATACAGACTTGTTCCTAAAGTTAAGGAGCTAGAATGACTAATTACAGGAAGGAAAGATTATAGGAATCCTAATTTATCATGTACAACTAAGAAATATACAAAAGAGGAAATAAAATATACAAGGGGAGAAAACGTAGGAGACTGATAGCAATGATTTCGTAACAAGATTAAGGTGTCACACTCAGGGACGTAGCCACATTGTAATGTATGATTTCAATTGAATCCACTCAAACTTTGAAAAAAAAATGTTTTATATTATATAATATTTTCAATTTTGACCTCACTTAAATTCATATTAAACTCACAAAATTTTTTATAAATTTATCAACTTAAATGTTTTAAACCCATTTATCAAAAATCCTGGTCACATCCTTGATTACACTAACATTCTTTTCTTCTAGGAAATAAATGAAGATAGATCCTGCAGTTTAAATTAGGGATTCAACAGATAAAATCTTATATGATTTTGAAGACAAAATGATACGGTAATCATCGTAGAAGAGATTAAAAAATGGGTATTTTTAAAATTATAAAGCCTAATTTTGTATTAGGGCTTAGAAAGAGATTTGGTGGCACTTTTTATTATTATTTGAAGAATATGAGCATTTTACAGGCCTGCCGTTTGGCCCAGTCTTTACAAAAGAATCTTAAGATAAACTTGGTCCAGGTTGCACAGACGTGGAGCCCGTCTAGTCTTTTTTGGGCACAAACTGACATGAACATGTTTGTTTTTGTTTATGTTTGATTGATTTGGCAGGGCATTACTTGTTGACAGAATTGCTGATAGAGAAAATGATAGAAACAGCTGACAAAACAGGTGTCCAGGGAAGAATTATTAATCTCTCTTCAGTAATTCATAGTTGGGTGAAGAGAGATGATTTTTGCTTCGCTCGAATGCTCAATCCGAAGAAGTAAATTTACCCTTTCTTTCCCCATTTAATTTTTCAGCATATGGTATGTTCAGATTGGCTAACAAAGAGCATAATTGTTTACAGTTATAATGGCACACGCGCATATGCACAGTCCAAATTGGCTAATATATTGCATGTCAAGGAATTAAGCAGGCAGCTCCAGGTAAAAAAGGCTACCTTTAAACCAAAAAAGGTTTTCACTAATGTTGGTTAAAATTATAGACAATGATTTGGCTGTCTGCAGTCGAGGAACGCAAGAGTGTCCATCAATGCAGTACATCCAGGCATTGTAAAGACTGGAATAATTAGAGCTCATAAGGGCTTCATTACAGGCAAGAATTAGCTTACAATCCAGTCCCATTCACATTTAAATTGGTGTACTGTTTTCGTTTTGTACAAATCTAAAAGCATGCAAACAAACTGTCTGTGCAGATTCTCTGTTTTTCATTGCTTCCAAGTTACTAAAATCTACAAGTCAGGTAGGGTTTGTCAAGACATGAGTGTCTTGCCCAAAAGATTCATTTGATAGAGTTGATGTAATATTTTTGTGCAGGGTGCTTCAACCACATGCTATGTCGCTTTGAGCCCACAAACAGAAGGTGTCAGTGGGAAATACTTTGCAGACTGTAATGAAACCAACACCTCACCCTTGGCAAATGATGAATCTGAGGGGCAAAGGCTGTGGAAGCAGACCCGTGCGCTCATCCAAAGACGATTGCGTTAATTACCACCAGGGACCACGGTGTCTCACTCTCATCTCATAATGTAAAACCTTTAAAATTAGGAGACGTGACGTGCTGTACATATGGTCATAAAGCATTATGTATATGAAGTAAAAAAGTTAAAGTCTATCAAAGGTAATATGTCAATAAAGGATCATTTTTAAGTTTTAACCTAGACTGTATCTGTATGGTGTTATACGACTTAGACACTAGTATTATAAAATACTTCTTTTATTTACATTATTTTGTTGTATCACTTCTTACTCATGCATCCTCTACTAACTGGTTAAGCAAGATTAGTAAAGAATACTGGTACAATAAAGAGCAAGAGTTGAATGAAAGGGAATTAAAACTTATGTATTATTCTCTTTCAACAATGGGATTAAATAGTTACAAGATACAGACTTGTTCCTAAAGTTTAGGAACTAGAATGACTAATTACAGGAAGGAAAGATTATAGGAATCCTAATTTATCATGTACAACTAAGAAATATACAAAAGAGGAAATAAAATATACAAGGGGAGAAAACGTAGGAGACTGATAGCAATGATTTCGTAACAAGATTAAGGTGTCACACTCAGGGACGTAGCCACATTGTAATGTATGATTTCAATTGAATCCACTCAAACTTTGAAAAAAAAATGTTTTATATTATATAATATTTTCAATTTTGACCTCACTTAAATTCATATTAAACTCACAAAATTTTTTATAAATTTATCAACTTAAATGTTTTAAACCCATTTATCAAAAATCCTGGTCACATCCTTGATTACACTAACATTCTTTTCTTCTAGGAAATAAATATGATCAAAATCAAAATGTCATGGTTATTAGTATTCCACGATACGTGAAACGTATCCTATGATACGATTCGATAACGGTCACCAACAATACATATCAGAGAATGTATTATAAATCTTTTGATACGTTGATATGTATCCTACGATACGATATGTATCCATTCGTATTCTTAAAAATACTGATACAAATCTATACGGTTTTACTAATTTGGGTCAAAGGCCCAAACAAAATTCGAGTCAGATTCGGGTCACCCAACCCGGTTCACTAAAACCTGTCCAAATTTACCCATTTTGTATAGAGAAAGTGAAGAAGAACATATGTTACCCATTTTGCATGATAATAATAATACAAGTGAAGATATTGACATTGATCTTGAAAATGATATAAATGATTGAGAGGAAATGATATAAATTCTTAATTTTGTAATTAATTTTGATTACGTAATACCATAATTTAAAACCAATAATACTACAAAATTCTTTAATTAATTTTTGGAATGATATTAATTTTTTTGAATAAGGCGTATCCTAAAATACAATACACGATTCGAAAAATTAAGTTTTTGATACACGATACGATATATGATCTGACAATCATGCTCATTACGTAAAAAAATTATTTTCGAAAACGTGTTATACTCATAAATAAATAATTTCAAATTTGTTCATTAGGATTTATTTAATTGCCCCCTTGTAAGATCGCTGAGTATTTATACTTACCCACTTTTTTTATAAGTATTAAAAACACTTTTGTAATTATCAACACCCTTTCTAAAGAATATCCAAAAACGTAAAAACAAATCTTTGTATAAATTGATGTAATAGAAAATAAATAAAAGAATGAATACAAAAAATAAAATTCATCATATTCACTCTTCTATTCATTTTTTGTCACATCGTACACAAATTTTTATAAAATTTGTTTATAAATCTAATATTACTCATTAACAAAGTATATAAATTTAGAGTAATGTTACATGTACAAAGAAATCTTACAAAGATTTATATACAAAATAATGTGACAAGAAATGAATAGAAAAGTGAACACAAAAAATCAAATTCATCAAATTTATTATTCTATTCATTTCTTACCACATTACTTTGTACAGAAATCTTTGTAAAATTTCTTACTACATCTAGTATTATTGATAAATTTAATACTATGCGTTCAAGGGGGAAAAATGAAATAACCTTTGTAAACTAACTTTGTATTTATCCTTCGTCTAGAGAAGTAACATTTAGCACCCTACAGCATTATTTTAAAACCCGGACCGGAGGGCAAACCATTTTGCTGTTCGGGTCACGGTTCAACCAGTTGGACCGGTGACGTCAGCAATATTTTATTTTTAAAAAATTACATATTAACCCCTTAAATCTTAATATATTACAAAAATTCCCCTAAAAAAATTCAAATTGGTCCCTAAAATTTTTATTTATTCCAAAAATACCCTAATAAAATTACCAATTAATCCCTAAACTTTTGATATATCTTCAAAATACCCCTATAAAATTACAAAGTAACCTTCATAATTTTAAAATATTTCAAAAACCCCCTTGAGACCTAAACCGGACCGGAGAAGCTACCGGTTCATGGTCCAACCGGTCCGACCGGCCCGTCCAGTCCGGTTTTTAAAACAGAGCCCTACAGAGAATGAAGTTTAGATCATGAATCACACAGTAAACTGAAATCAACAAATCAGATTGGTTTATTCGAAATAGTAGCACTCAATAATTAAAAAAAAAAAAATTGCAATTATCACATTTACATTTCAGCCGTTCTCCAATTGGTTAATGAAATACAATAGATTAACCATACAAATCTAACCAGGCTGTCTCGTCTGCTGAGTGGCATATACTTGAGACCGCCACGTTAGATTTTCGGAAGTACAAGAATATCAAGTTTCAAACGGTAGAAGTTAACGGCTCAACCACCAGCTCACGAATTATGACAACCAGAGCAAGTTAAAGCATCTGATCGCATGATAACAAAATAGAGATGAGAAAGCAGCATCTATTTCATCTTCATTTCTTAACCTGCCAAATGATGTAATCTCTTCCATTAGAATTTTGTTGCCATCAGTTATTGTTATATATAGTGCACAATCAACAGTCAATAGGCCTTCTTGTCAGCATAATCAGTATGGACAAAGAATAATTACAGACACAAATTGCCCTTTTACTAGCGTAACCTATAGGCTTCTAAGCTAAATGTCCCAAGCAGATAAGAAAGTTGAAAATGTTATAAAACCTTAAATCGCTATGTCTAGTCCTGCCAAATATCTGGTGACACAACTTCCAGAATGATTGAAAGTGTTGAGTCTTAGATGTATGAGCAAAACATTTCCTAAAAAATAAAATATTAAAGTACTACCATAACTGCCAAGCACAAGGAAACTTGTAGGTAAAGCAAGCGAAATTTAGCTAAGGCCACCCTCCATCTGAACACTATACCTCTACATACTACTATCCCGCATCCATCATGCAATAATGTAAATTTATATTTTCTTGATCTTAAATATCATACACCATCTCTAGAATATTGAAACAAAATAGAACAAACTGACAGCTTGAGAAAATTTGAAACCAGCACAGTATCAAAAAAACAAAGCCAAACCAATTTTCAATTAGAAAATATGATATGGGTGGATGTTTTTTTCAAGAAAAACAATAGAAAGGTTCTTATGCAATTTGACAGGGAGGAAATTACAATCTAAAACCTAACTTGATCCATATGAGAAAAAAAAAAATGCTTCTTCACTAATTTTTGCATATATAAACCAACTGCAGCGATACAGGAAGCAATTTATGCTAGGATCACCTTAAAACGAGGAGACCGGCGAAAATATGTTGCTGATCCCGGAGATAGAAGTGCTGGTGTGGCCCCTCTTCCGTGGTTAACTTTCTTGGATTGTCGGTTGGCTTCTTCATGTTCAATTTGATACTCATTTTTCTTGGCTGGAGACCCACTTCTGTTAGTTGAAACTGAAAACAAGGGAGCAGACCCAGAGATCATGGAAGAATCTTGATGAAGAGTTGTTGATTGCGGTCGTAATCCTAGGAGTCATCATGAACAATAAAAAGGTTTATCTCAAAAAAATAGTAGCATGAACCCCAAAAATATAAATAAATAAATAAATAAAAGATAAGAGTTTAATCTTTTATTATGGTTTTGCAACAGCAAGTTTGTGTGGAAGTATCATAAGCAAATCACATCAGGAACCACAAATACAAAATTACTAGATTAAGACCTCCTTATTTAGAGAGTGTCACTTTTGAACATGCAAGAAACAGGGTAAAGGAAGAAGAAGAAGCAAGATGAGGTCATACCAAGTGCTGCAGCTTCTTGAAACCTCTCTCTCATAATTCGGACAAATCTGAACAAGCCATTGGTTCTGTTCAATTCTTGGATTAACTCCTTGATATTGTTCAATGGTGGGTCACAATCCAACACTAAAGATTACGAGAAAAATTCATATGCAGACACATCGAATACACCCAATATTAAAATAGAAAACTTTAAAAAAAAAATAAGTTGTACTTACAGGTATAGGTATCATTTGTGTGGCAAACGGTGAAAGAGTACTCCTCATTTTGATTTTTAATATCTATATTGCTGAATGTAAATTTTACCCCTAAAAGCAAAGGAATTTGTAAGTGTGTAGATCAATCTTGAAAGACAAGGAAAATAAACTTTGCACAATAACTTTGATTACCATGTCCACCTTCAATATGAAAACCAAGAACCCTATTGTACCACGAAATGGCCTCTTGAATTTCTCCATTCCGTTTAGTGTCTTGGTTGGTCTTTTCTTCAGAGATAGCCAAACCTATGGTGGGTACCAACAAAGAAAAAATGTAAATAATGACCACAAGAATCAGAAAACTAAATATTCTTTCCTTTATGATAAAGAGTGGCAGATACAGAAATAAACTTTACCCTCTACCAAGATACTAACAAGAAAATATAGCTCTGGAAAACTGACATGAAGGTAGAACACATGCACAAACAAAAGATGATCAATATAATTAAGCACACGTATCAATTTACATCACTACTTCAAGCATACTCGACAGAAGGATACTAGGTTTAACCAAAATCTATAAACAATAGAAGCTCAATATAGCAGTTGCCAACCCAATCAATTTCTGATACCTTTCAAACAAGATTGAATAAATGATTCATGGATTACTAATAACAAGTTCCCACCAACAATTTGATAGACCAACGCACCTTAGGTAACAAAAACACATAGGTGTGAGCTTCCACTTTTGGAAACTAAAAAATCTGGAATTCTGCAGTAACACGACCATGTTGCATGTCATGAACGCATTCAATACTCTTCTCATGTAAGAAGAATAAAAATAAACAACAGACAAAGATTTTAATCTAGCCCCAACATCGTTTTGTATCCAACCCAACTAAGAATTGAGGAAACCCTAACATAGTATTGTCATAAATTCTCACAGATTCACAGTCCAGCACCACTAACTTAACTAATTCTTATAGGTATGACCGATGCATCAATCATTTCTAACATAAGTTGTTTCCTAAAAGACATTTGAGGGGAAAGATGCAAATTATGATGTACATAAAAACAAGATGCGAATAGAATTTGAAAGCTGGGAACATCATCCATTTCTAAAAAGCTTACATAAAATTTAGATGTTAAGATTATGAGAATGATGCAAGAACCCGAAAAAATCAACCAATATACAAAGAAAATTACCTCGAGAGTGTTGAAATATAATTGCTGCATACTCATCCCTCCTAGCCCTCTGAACTTCAACAGCTTTTTTAAGTTCTTCTAGTCTTACTTTTGTTGCAGATATTGAATCCCTGGTTGTCATTTGTTTGGCCTCTTTACGAGTCTTCACTATACAGCAAAAGAAAAAGAAAAAGACAAAATATTTTTAGAAGCATCATTATTCCACTTTCAGAGTAAACCAAAAAAAAAAAAAAAAAAAATAGTTAAAACCACTTAACTCATCATAACTCTTTAAAGGCCTACTAATGACTAATAAATATAAATTACAAACTTAATGGACGGCTTTATGCTGCAAAATATATATTCAAACTAGTTCATATCAATTTCCTAAGAATATGAACACTTCCCCAATTTTACAAATAGCGTATCCTTGCATCTTCTAATCATGTCAATATTTCATCCTTCTCCAGCTACACAACCACAGGAATAAAATCCACCAAAAAAGGGAAAAAGGTAAAAAAATAAAGTTAGATTCAAAACTTTGCACCTTCAAAGTTTATTAGATTTGAAATTACACTTTCACTGATTCAGAATTTGTTACTTATTTACTTTAGTTTAATTGCTATTATAAGTACAACTACAAATTCTTGAAATTGAAAAAAAAAATGATAAACTTTAGAGAGTAGAAAAAATCTTTTTGAACCATGATGACATGCTTTAAATTAATTGCTAAAGCTCAACATCAAGGTTCATTCTTGCTAATTTAACATCAATGAATTCTGAAACTTGCAATAGCTATGCACATCTTATTTAAACAAATGTACATAAACTCTTCTGTGCCACATCAGCAATGGCTTCTCTGTTCTAGGAATTATGGCTTCCATTAATACAAGTGAAAATGACACCTTTTAATATATTCCAGAGAATCGGATCAACATGCGTTACATGCAGAAAAAACAAGCATTTAGAAATTTAGCGAATTTATAATCCCATAAACCGGAATCATAATTCATACATTAAGAAAATCATCATACAACTTATCTTCAATTAGACACAAAAGACAATGGCAAAAGGTAAGGACCTAATAACAACATGACAGTAATATCAGTGCCACTTCAAGTCACATAAACGCATCTAAATAATTTCAACTTAAATCACCATTATCAAAGCCATACCTGCTAGTACTTTCACGTATTCATCTTCAGCGTCTCTCAGTTCAGCTTTCGCTTTCGCCAGTTTCGCTGTAAGATTAACAATAATAACAAAACCTGAACTCATTATTCTCAACATAAAATTACCAAACAATTAAAACAACAAAGCACCAGTTAAAATTCTTCGAGATAAAACCCTAATTCTAGTTCCATTTTTATAAAAAGTTAAAAACAACTACAAGAGCCCTGATTTCATACAAACAGTGAAAATCGCTACCAAAACCCTAAATTATAGTTTTTAGTGAAAGTGAAGCTCAGAATATCACCTTGATTTTGGACGGTTTCTAGAGCTTTGGCCTTGACCGATTCCAGAGAATGTCGAAACGACGTCGTGAAAGAGTCCATTTTCTGCTGATTGAGGGGAATCTCTTTGTCGCAGATCAACCGAAGCGACTCCATTTTCGTATATACAGAGTCCTCAACTTTGATCTGCATTTGTTGTTTTGTTCAGCGTGTGAAGGAGAGAGCGTCTTTGATTTGAATGACAAGTAGATTTAGCCCGCCTTTTTTTGCTTTCAAGTTTTTTTCACTTTCTTTTTTGGCAGTTGAAGCTAAGACGCGTGGTGAGAGTGAGACTAACACAGTGACACAGGTGGCATACATAGATAATAGATTTCCATATGCTATTCTTAAATTAGTGAACACGTGGCATCATATAGAGTTTGTACCCCCACTATCCGTTGGCAAAATCTGAGGCCGGCCGAAGAGCTTAATCTTCGGCCCGGCCCATTGAGTGAATTTTTTTTTTTTTTTTTTTGTAATGATAAAATTATCTAAGTTTAATTTTTTCAATAAATATAACTTATTATCTAGATTTTGCAAAGATTATGATAATAAATACATTAATAAAAGTGTCTTATACAGAAATATAAATCCTTCAGGCAAATTATTGCGGGATTTGACTAAGATATGAAGCTTAAAATTAGCAAGAAACAAGGCATGTGCTAAGACAATATTATATGACCAAAGCCCATTAGAACTGATGTGATCATTGGTACAGCAAAGAGTAATGATACATGTACTGTATTAGAGTGAAGTGGAAGCATTCAGTTGTTAATTAAAAATCATTATTAATACAACATTAAAATGTTTACACTTGCTGTTATGTAAACCCAGAATCAATTACGTATTGAATTTTGGGACAGTTTGTCTTAACCCATTTGCTGTTCACCGCGTTTATTAGCACATGCCTAATCTTAAAGTTTGACTTTGACCTCTTTGCAACGCCGAGGTATATGAGGTCAACCCAATCTTCCTCAGATTCTTTTACTCATAAGTCAACTGTTATTGTTTCTAATTTTCCTTTTTTATTTCTGAATTAATGTTCTCCTGATCCGTTTACTATATTTAATATGGAAGACAGACATATTTTTCAAAATAATACATAATTATAAAATATTTTTGTCACAAATCTTGTTAATATGAGAGACTTTTGTTTAGACAAATCTTGTTTTATTGATCGAAAGGACATTATATACCCTTCAAAATCTATTTTTTTACATCAAAATAGAAATTTTAATAATACGATATGATAATGAAGTAAAGGAAAATACAATGCAAATGAAATAATTAAATGGAAAAGAAAGTATAAATAAATATTAATGTAAATATAAATATACAAAATTTTCAAAACAAAAAAAAAAATAATAATAATAGTTTAGACTATAATTAGTTTATCACTTTATCTTATATTTGACATAGAATGACAAAACAAGAAACTTTTTTGTATAAGTACTAATGTAAATGTATATAAAATAAAATGATTTTATCTTACTATATCTATTTGGGAGCATTAATATTAATGAATTTTGAATTTTGTGAAAGATTATCCTATTTAGTTATAATCCGTCCATAAAAATAGGAATCTTAATTTGTAAAATCCAGTTTTATTCTTAATTTATTATTTGAATTTAACATATTTTTTCAAAATTTTTGGTTAAAGCTCAACCTAGTATAAACTTTTTTTATTTAAAAAAAAAAAAAGGCTTGGTCAGTCTACATGTGGTTCCGCCTAGTAATTATCAAAAAAATTGTCTACAATTATGAGAGCCTAATAGGAAAGTTGCAATGGGATCTAAACAATTCTTTTAATATATTGTAATTTCTGTAACTTGAATTTAGAAAGAAGATAGTACCACTATAAAAAGTTTGCTACATTCCAACACAAAAAATTGTGTTAGAAAATCATCAAATCGCATAATGCTACTTGTACAACGACGCAAAATATTGTGTCAATAAATTGTAACATAAAGTTTGTTGTAGAAATCTCCCAACACAAAAAATGAGTGTCAGATTGAAAAACGTAACACAATGTAAAGAACATACAATACAAGTGCCCTATATCTGTTTGTCCTACTAATGTCATGGCACGAACGATAAAAGGTGTTATCTTATTATTATTTATTCCTATTGCATGGCACTGTAGCGTCCTTCTAAGGCTTTAAGCAGTCACATCTGGGAAGCCCCTGATGCAACACAATGGTTGCGTTGTACCTGTAGGGAGCCATTGATTAATGTAATGGGTCCAAATGGTATGAGTTCTGAATCGGCCAGCAAGATGGAGTCAGCACTCAGCGGCATAGAAAGGTTACTGGCTTCAGCAAAGGTTTAGTCTCTTAAAAATAGAGAGCACTAACTGGGCATAAATAATACTATAAATTAGTTTCTTTTCTAACGTAACATTAATTAATGACTTCTTTGGAGCCGAAAGAAGAAAAGCCATAAAACCATTAACCTTGAAAGACGGGAAGAACATTCAAATAAACAAGAGAGTGCCGCTGGATGTTGAAAGCAAAAGGATGAAACGAAACCCACAAAGCCAAAAGTAAACACAAAAAACCAAAAAAAACAAAAGAAAAGAGAAATTAAACCAGGAAGGAAAGAATTAGCTTTCAAAAAGTCTGTTAATATGAAATTATTGTACAAACAAGTGGGTATAGTTTGATTAAATTATTTGGGACGTTGTATTACCGTCCAATTGTCGGGCCATTATATGATGTTGGACCAAGATGCTATATGAATCTTCTTTGTCCAAATGAAATGATCAAATAGTTGACTAACAATTTAATGAGATTATTTAATGTTTGTATTACTCGATAATTGCTCAAAAGCAAGCATGAATGAACCTTAATTTGCTTTTGCCGTTTAATAAAAATCTCAATTAAAACGTGTTATAGAGACTAAAATTTGGAATCCCATTTCAAGTCATAGGCCCCAAGAGATTCATTCGACGATTATAAAGGTTTGTTTTTTTCTTTGAATTTTTAAGTTCAAATTTTAAAACCACTTATAATAATAATATTGTAACTTATATGATCATTTAGGTTTATAGGGTGTTCAATAGATTTCGAAAATTAACTGAAATATATGTAAATTAACCCGGATACTTTGGTCATCAAAAAAATAAAAATAAAAAGATGTGGGACTATTATTAAAGAGTTGAATCATATTTAAGTCACAAGTCCTTACATGCTATTTAGGATGAATCTAAAAGATTTAAAGACCACTATATCATCTATAACATAATTATAATATTTTTCGATAGTCAAAAATCTTATCCTCGACATGTGTATATAGAAATTTGTCATCGAGTAGAAAAGAAAAAAGGAATAGGGTTTTTTTTGGGTTCCACCTTTTAAGGCTTAATACATACAAAGATGAAGTCACTATACCAATAAGGCAATACGTATGGTATCTTTTTAATTATCGTTTCCTATTGGACTTGTCCCCATCAGGCCATCACCATTGGAGCAAGATAATGTTTATTATTATTAATAATAATAATTAATTAGTAGAGGTAGCTTAATCCATCCATAACAAGCAACTAAGCAATTAAATTTGTAATTAATAAAAGCAGGAAGCAATCATCTGAACATGAACGTCACATAAAAAAAACAAAAAAAGCCATGTGCTATAGGCTGCTTCCTCATTTATGTTATAATTAATGGTGGAGATTGCTTAACTAAATCATGTTATATCATGCCATTTATTAAAAAATTCAACATTGTTTTATTTATAACCAAGGTGTTCGGACCAATTTATGCGTATTTCAATTAATCCTCAAGGCCCGTTAAATATTCTACAAACTTAATATTCCAGGTAAACCACATATGTAATACGTGGTCTCAGAGTAGTTTAAACTCAGCAAATCAATGAAGAGAGTAAACCTTCTTGACCAACAAACCAAAAATTCAACATTGTTCTATCCTCGTTGAATTATCACCCTAAACAAATTAATGTATATATCAATTTCAAGAACATAGTCATAGATTTGAATACCCTTTTTGATTGATTTTACATGCTTATAATTGAGATATATATATATCTATATTGTTTGCCTATCTCTGTAATACCATGTGATCAACTTTAAGTGAAAAATTAAACTTTTTTAACGAATTGATAAAAAGTATATCAACATTTCACTACTGTGCTTCAGATTCATGTTATCTCAGCCTCAATTCATTAATCAGACAAAGAAAGTGACCCATCACTTGCTTATGTTACAAGAAAGAACCATGGAAAATGAAATAAATAGGATGAAAAAGAAATAAATTAATCCCCTAAAATATGATAAATTAATACAAATTATTTTGACGTTAACTTTTAGGTATCAAAACAAACAGTAAAAAGACAATTTAGTAATATTTACGAACTTTAATTGTGTAAATTTTAATAACTTATTAATAATTCATTAACAAAAAATAAAATTATGTTATTTCTAAAACTTGAAGAGAATTTATTTTCATTTTATTATATATTAGGGGGTCTTAGTTTTTAACCCAAATAGGGATCGAAGATCTTTTGTATTTTGGTTGTTTTGATTTGATGTGGCATATATGATTTAAAGAAAGAAGATCCCCAAGTGGCCATATTACACATGATGTGCCAGTGAATATACATAGCAAAAACGACCATTCATTTACAATACACATATTGGATTCCTATACAAATAATAATAAACACTTGTGCCAATCTCCTTCATTGTTTCTCTCACTTTTATTGCCGACAATTTGGTTTCCAATCATCTCCAAAGCCTAACACTACTAACTTGTTGAAGGTTTCAGATATGAAGATTTCAGTGCATTCTAAGTACAACAACTTAAATATGCATTAATTTCATTTTAAGATAGAAATTAAAGTGAAAATAATAGTATTTTTGTTACAAACCTTGTTAATAACACTTTAATAAACCCTCCTGATGGGTTGACTTGGGTTGACTTGATGGTTAAGAATGTTTGTTCTTTTTATTGATTTTTTGGATTCAAATCATTTTAAGACTATCTATCATATTTGTGATTTATCTAGAATATTGAGCTTGTAAAATATTTAATAGATCTCAAAAATTAATTAAGATGTATACAAACTGACTCAAACATCTTGACCATTAATTTTGATTTGGGTAAATATTTTATGAATTGGTTATGTGGCTATAGAAGTAGAAGAGGAGAAATAATTGAGTTATAGTGATATACAGAAAGGTGATACGTGGAGGGAATTTATAGGGAACCCCTCTACCTCTAGGCTCTAACTCTAATTTTGATGGGTTATGTTATGTGTCTTCTTCTCGG